ATAATTCTCCTTTGGATGCTGGGGAAGCTGTTGCATCCTCCAGTGGGCAGCAGGAGTAAGTTTGGAAGGGCTGAGAACAGAGCAGCAGGACAATAGTGCAGATAACTGGCAATCAAAATAATTACTCAGTGACTGTTATCTACTTGCAAGCTTCAGAGAAAGGCATGGCATCTAATCTTGTTCAGGGAGTGCTTTTCTTATCGATGAAGGTGTTCTAAAGCACCCTTCTTCCTTCATGTACACATCCCGACTGAGAAAGCCAAACACAACTCTCCCGACACCCAAATTCCACAAAGAAGCCTTTATATCGAGCACCCTTTTCATTGTTTTTTATACCCTTCCTTTCATTAAAGCCAAAACAAGTGTGCTCAGGTCACACAGTCCTTTTTGTACTCCTATTGATGTCCTTACCAGTTCAAACACTGACTGCTAATTCCTGTAGGAGACCATAGGTCAAGGTAAGAAGCAGTGAAGTCCATGTGGCATTTCTGTTGCTTGTGTCCTGGAACTGCCTCCCCTGATTGGAACCAGTTGGGTTTTTAAGTGCCCTCCTTTAACCTTTCAAATCACAAGCTATGGGGATGCCTGTGGTTCCTTCCCTGTGTGTTTGGAGGCACAGACAACAGGGACGCTCTTTGCTTCCGAGGTTTCTGCTGATTAGAGCTTGAGCTTACAACATGGTGCGATCCTGCGCCGCTTACAGCCAAGAGGTCCAGAGCACACTTCTGATGGAATGCACATGACACCAAACCATTGAGGGCCTTGCCTTCAGCTTGAGTGGAATGAGCTTTTGGTTAATGTCCTGGGTTTAGCAGTGGCAGTCATTTTTCTCTTTCTTGGTAGCTGGTGCAGTGCTGTGGTTTGACTTTCAGCTGGGAACAGAGCTGAAAAACAATGATGTTTTGGTTTGGCCAAGGACTTTGTGAGCCTCATGCTCTGCCAGGGAGGAGGGGAGCTGGGAGGAAGCAGAGACAGGACACCTGACCCAAGCTGACCAAAGAAGTATTCCATACCACAGCACGTCATGGCCAGGATGTAACTTGGAGTGAGCCGGAAGGGAGAGGGGACTGCAGGGTGGGATGAGGTATGGGTGGGTGCTTGGTCGGGCTGGGGGGTGAAATATCGGTTGGCTGGTGGTGAGGTGTTGTATTCTTTTCCCTTGTTATTTCCTTTATCATTACCATTATTGGTGGTAGCAGCAGTGATTTGTGTTATACCTTAGTTACTAAACTGGTCTTATCTCAACCTGGGGGAGTTGCATTCTTTCTGATTCTCCTCTCCGTCCTTCCAGGAGTAGGGGGAGGGCAAGAAGCGGGGGAGTGAGTGAACAAGTTGTATGGCTGGGGTTAAACCACGACAGTTAAGTTCTTGTGTTTCACGTTCTGGTTCTGCAACAACCAGCATGGCCCCAAGAAAGAGGAGGTCTCCTTTGTGGGAGAGGGAAGAATGAAGGCAGAAGAAACCCAGTTACTCAGATCTCCAGTGCTGACAAAGACACGGAGTGGAATCCATGCAAAGCAGCTAGAACATACTGCTGTTATTTGGAAGTAAAGACAGGAAGCAGCCCGAAGGCTTCACTGCACTGCCCAGCAAGAAGATGGGAGGATATGTATAACAGCAAAAAAATGGATTTATTGGTACAAATTTGTTGTAGCAACAGTCCTGGGTGCATCCTGTGGGTACCGAGAGACACTGGTTCCGGTGGGGCACAGTGGTGGCACTGGGGCAGAGCTGAGGGCCAACCTCTTGCTGCCACATCCCCATTTAACCCAGGAAGTTCCTTGTCCCCATCCAGCCCTGTGTCCCCACAAGCTGTCCTGGGCCAGTGTCACCAGCAAAAGGCAGCAGTTTCACCCCCAGACCCACCTCGAATGGGGCACTTCCCTGCACCATAGGTGATGCTTGGCATCCCCAGCCTGCTGGAGCAGTGACCCCCCTGTGGACCCACGCTGTGGGGCAGCCATGGGGCCAGAAGGCCCCTGTCCCTATCAACTGGCAGCAGTGCCTGCGGTGCAGAGCCCACATGGGGCAGGGGACACAGCACAGGGGCTCCAGGGATCCAAGCATGGAAAACCGTCCCTGGGGGTGGCTGCGGGAGGCAGCGCTGGGATCCCCCTCCTCCTCCTCCTCTTCCTCCACAGCCCCCTCTGAATGAGGCAAAGGAACCAGGAGCAGCCTGGAAGGTTTAATTGGAAGCTTTGAGGCTGGGAACCAGCAAAGGGGACACGGAACGGGGGACACAGAATGGGGAACATGGAACTGGGGACATGGAATGGGGGTTAGAGCAGGGACTTGGGGGTGACTGTGAGAAGCAGAAAGGCTGAAGGGGATCGCGGTGGGGCTGCAAGGAGGCCGCAGAGGAAGGAAGAAATCTGGTACCTGGGATAGGGCCATGGGGAGGGATCCAGGAGCCATCAGTGCAAGAGCCTCATCGGCTGGGGGTGTGGGCAGGGGGCACAGGGGTGAGTTCTTTGGGCCTCCTCTTGCTGCCCTTCTTGGTGCTGTTCCTCCAAGGAGGCTCTGAGGAAGACAAGAGCAGAGAAACCCTGGGTGCTGCTGTGGGCAGAAAGCAGCTGCTGGAGCTGCAGAGAGTGCGTGCCCAGGCTTCTGCTAAAGCTCATTCTGCTAAACCACATTAAACCCAGAGGAAAATGAGGAGAGAAAATGAGGAGACTCAAATCCAACTTTGTTACACCCCAGCCCTCTCTATTCTCTTGTTGGGTGCTTTCCCAACCTGCACATCCATACAACGCTCCATCTCATTGGCCTCTGTGATCCTCTCCAGGTAAACAGTGCAATCACAGTGCTGCAGACCCTCTCACAGCCCCCCCAGCTCCTGGCCCCAGGGCTGGTCACCGCCCCAAGGCCTCAGAGCTCATTCCTGAGCTCTTTTTCATGCCAATCTCATGGCCTTCACTGCCCACATCTCCCCCTTCTTTGCTTTGGATACCCACTGTCAACCCCTGCTTAAGGGCTCCATCCATCACAGACTGCCTAAGCCAACGGAAACGAACAAAACCAACACTCTTCATGCAAGTTTCTCCCTCGTGCTCCTACCCTAGCAGATGAACAGGTCAAGAACAGTTCCCTTTCTGCACTCACAACTGGGTTTGAGCTACAGGAGGAAAATGCAGATCCAGCTCCGTTTTACAGTGGCTGTAAACAGCTCCCGGTTGTTGTACCCCCAGCATCCCCCGTGTGCACAGGGTGCGAGGCTGCCATTGCTGGGGCTGCTGAGGGAATGGCAGCCCCCATGCAGCCGTCCCACAGCAGCCTGAAAGCACTCCTGGCTGTGGCAGCCGGCAGGCACAGGGTGTCTTGTCCTGTCCATTGCCTGCAGATGCTCTCCTGTGGCTGGGCGGAAGCCACGGTAGGGGCAGTCCTGTTGTGAGGAAGAGGCAGAAGACAAGGCCGGAGGAGCCCATCCTGCAGGGATCCCCAAAATGGATGCAGGCACCCCCTTCATTGAACCCCTATGGTCCCCCCCTCATTGTCATCCCTGTATCCCTGCAGCCGCCACCATGGTGGAGCTGGGCTGGGATGCTCCGGATCCGGATGCGCTGGCGCAGGCCCTGGATTCCCAGCTCGGGGACTTCGCCTTCCCGGATGAGTTCGTCTTCGATGTCTGGGGGCCATTGGCGAACCACATCTATGGGGACACTCTCCCCATCATGGACATGGGGACCACCCCTCATTGTGGACCTCATCTCCATCTGGAGCCACCCCAATGCGGGGACCCCCATCAAGACCACTACAAACCCTTTCTCCCACCCCATAATTGGGCCCCCGTCAAAAGTTGGACCCTCCCCCCAAAACCTGCTGGAAATGGGTGCCCCCCATGACACCTCCCTCCTGTCGCACCTTCCCAATGGATGCTTCCAGCCGTGCCCCCCTCAAACCTGGAACCCTCCCCATTGGGGGATGTCTGTGGAACTAAGGGTTCCCCCCCAAATCACAATAGGGCTTGAAGCTTAAAGCCCCTCCCCTTATTGACCCCCCCATGACATTAATGCTCCCCCCACCAGGGTGATGGATGAGGCTATGTCCCCCCCATTGAGCAGGGGGGTGGAGGACACTGGAGCTGCCCTGTGGTGCCCCAATGAGACTGGGGTCTTAATGGATCTAAATGGGGCCTTACTGGATCGTAATGGGTTCCTAATGGGGTTCTAATGGGATATTAATGGGGCCCTAAAGCAATATTAATAGGGTTCTAATGGGATACTAATGAGGTCTTAACCAGGTCCTAATGGGATATGAATGAGATCTTAATGGGTTCCTAATGGGATCCTCTTGGGGTATTAATGGAGTCCTAATGGGATCTTCATGGGATCTTAATGGGATCTTCATGGGATCTGAATAGGATGAGGGGTGAATGGAGTCCCAATGGCAGTTACTGAGGTGAATGTGGAGCCAGTGATATGGAAAAGGGTAAGTGGAGTCCCCAGTCCCTGCTCCTGGCACTGGGGACCCCAGTGCTGGGATTTGGGAGAGGTCCAAAGGGTGCTGGGATGGGTGTCGGGACCTGGGATGGGTGCTTGGTGCTGGGATGGATACAGCCTTGGAGCTTGTGAGGTCCCAAGGGAATATCCCAACCCTGGAAAAGGGATGCTCCAGCTGGATGCAGGGATGAAGTGGGATGCGCCAGCTGGATGCAGGGATAAAGCAGAACCATGGAAGGTTGGGTTCTCCTTCATCATTTGGGTGTGGAAGGGAGCCTTCAGCATGGATTGCAGCCATAGGACAAGGGGTGATGGGTTCCAACAGGAACAGGGAAGTTCAGGTTGGAGACAATGACTGGACTTGATGCTCCTGAACGTCTTTCCCAACCTGGCTGATTCCCTGATTCCCAGCCCCTGCTTCCCACTGATCCCTGCCTTCCATCCCTCATTCCCATCCCTCCCCATGGACCAGAAGAAGAGGTGGGCATGCAAAGCATCCTCTCTATGGGAAAATAAAGCAACTTTATTGAAGCTTGAGGCAACTGCAAGCGATGCCGCTCCTCAAATCTTCTCCCCGCTTAGAGCCTGCAGCAGCTCCTTCACCCCAGTGATGAATTCCAGCAGCACCCGGACTGGGAGGGAGCAGAAGCCACTGATGCTGGAGCCCGTGGGCGCCGGCATCGTCTCCTGGACGGGGGTATGGGAGACGTGCTGGTGGCTCCACGTCGGGGGCGTCGTGGGTGCTCCCATGGAGCGGAACATTCCCAGCTGGTGGAGGATCCACTCATGGAAGTGCTGCGTCGAGGTGTAGATCCCCGGTCTCTTGGCCCTGGCGCAGCCGCGGCCCCAGCTCCTCAGCCCCACAACCCAGTAGAAGTTGGCGCCCTTCTCCCGGCACATGAGGGGACCGCCGCTGTCACCCTATGGAGGAGAAGGAGCCAGGATGAGAATGGGGATGGGTCGCCACGGCAATGCCAGAGGGGACCACCACTGTCAGCCTATGGGAATGGAAGGGTTCTCCTTCATCAGTTGGGTGTGGAGAGGGACCTTCAGCATGGATTGGAGCCATAGGAAGAGGGGTGATGGGTTCCAACTGAAGCAGGGATGCTCAGCTTGGAGAGAAGGAAGCGGTGGGACACTGGGATGGGTTGGATGGAGAAGGCTGGGATGCTCCATCCCCAGTCAGAGCAACCTCAATAGACCCGGATGAGCTTTACCCTCCCTTCCACCCCATTCCGTGAATCCATGACCCAGCATTCCAAGGCCAACGGGTCTGTCAGGCACTCACTTCTGGCCCCCCTCGCTCCCCATCCGCTGACGAAGCACTCGGACAGCTGGGATACCCTGAGCGTCGCATCGGGCAGGCAGGCGAGCTGCACGTGGTACCCGCACCGCACCGGCTGGTCCAGCTCCAGCAAGGCGATGTCGAAGCCGCTGGAGGCGCTGGTATAATATTCATGGACCACGACCTGCCGGATCCAGCGCTTCTGGGTCTCGGAATTGGCCTGAGCCAGGTCCGTGATTCCGAGCATCACGAACCAGTCCGTGGTGAAGCTGGGAGGGAGTGGAAGAGCAGGGATTAGAGCCGCAGGACAAGGGGTGATGGGTTCCGACTGGGAACTGCAGGGTGGAGATAGGGAAGGGATTCCCTGTGAGGGCACTGAGGTACTGGGATGGGATGGATGGAGAAGGTTTGGATGCTCCATCCCTGGCAGTGCTCAAGGCCAGCTTGGAGCAAGCTGCTCTATGGAAGGCATCCCGGCCCATGGCAAGCGGTTGCAAGTGGATGATCCCAAGCTCCTTTCCAATCCAACCCAATCCATGATCCATTTCCATCCCATGCCATTCCATCTCATCTCATCTAATTCCATGCCATTCCATTCCATTCTATGGGGAAGAGGATTGGGAAGGACCACATTCCTGCTGCTTCACAACGGGAAGCACTGGCCCAGCGCACCTCAGGCTCAAGGGCTGTCAAGCTGGAAGCAGCCTTCTCCTGAGCACTCTTCCCAGTGCATCCAGGATGGGGAAGGGGACGGGATGGGAGCTGCTCCTTGGCTATTCCCTATGGCTGGAATCCCTTCTGCCCCTTACTTTTGCCCAACGAAGCAGTGAGCGGCCGTGAGGACCCACTGGGGGGTGATGAGGGACCCGCCGCAGATGTGCAAAGGGCCGTTGGCAGTGGGGAACTGGATGCTGACCATCCATGGCCAGGCGCCCTGCTGTGCGTCCACGCCTCCGACAATGCGCGACATCCCATAGTCTTCAGCCATGGGACGGGTACCGCAGGTCCCTCTGGAAGCAGAAGCCCAACATTGGATGGTTAGGGATGAAGGGCGAGCATCGTCCCACCCCACAGGGTGCTGCAGGGACAAGGGACCCTATGGTGTGCCCCATAGGTGAGCATCATCCTGCACCATAGGGTGCTGCAGGGACAAGAGGCCCTATGGGGTGCCTCATAGCTACACTGTGCTACCACATGGGGCGATGGCAAGGAAGTGGGGCTCTCCCAATCCCACCACCCCATTGGTGTAACCAGGGTTGGGAGCAGCAGTATCTCCCTATGAAATACCAGGAGCCCCAAGCCTGGTGCCACTCACCCACAGCTGTCCCAGGAGCCATGCACCAGCCAGGGCAAGAACAGCAGGATGAGGACTCGGAGAAAAGCCCTTGCTGGCATCACGTCAACCAAATAGCTGCAAGCAAGGAGCTGCCACCAATGAGCTGCAACCAAGGAGCTGCAACCAAGGAGCTGCAATGAAGGAGCTACAATAAAGGAGCTGGAAACAAGGAGCTGCAACCAAGGAGCTGCCACCACGGAGCTGCAACGAAGGAGCTGCAAATAAGGAGCTGCAACCACAGAGCTGCAACCAAGGAGCTGCAAGCAAGGAGCTGCAACCAAGGAGCTGCAACCAAGGAGCTGCAACCAAGGAGCTGCAACCAAGGAGCTGCAACCACGGAGCTGCAACCAAGGAGCTGCAAGGGTGAACCACAGAGCTGCAACCAAGGAGCTGCAACCAAGGAGCTGCAACCAAGGACCTGCAACCAAGGAGCTGCCACCACGGAGCTGCAAACAAGGAGCTGCAACCAAGGAGCTGCAACGAAGGTGCTGCAAAGAAGGAGCTGCAACCAAGGAGCTGCAACCAAGGAGCTTCAACGAAGGAGCTGCAACCAAGGAGCTGCAACCAAGGAGCTGCAACGAAGGAGCTGCAACCACAGAGCTGCAACCAAGGAGCTGCAACCAAGGAGCTTCAACGAAGGAGCTGCCACCAGGGAGCTGCCACCAAGGAGCTGCAGCCACGGAGCTGCAACCAAGGAGCTGCAACCAAGGAGCTTCAACGAAGGAGCTGCCACCAGGGAGCTGCAACCAAGGAGCTGCAGCCACGGAGCTGCAACCAAGGAGCTGCAACCAAGGAGCTGCCATCAAGGAGCTGCAACCAAGGAGCTGCAATGAAGGAGCTGCAAACAAGGAGCTGCAACCAAGGAGCTGCCACCACGGAGCTGCAACCAAGTAGCTGCAACCAAGGAGCTTCAACGAAGGAGCTGCCACCAAGGAGCTGCAACCAAGGAGCTGCAACAAAGGAGCTGCAACCACAGAGCTGCAACCACAGAGCTGCAACCAAGGAGCTGCCACCAAGGAGCTGCAAACAAGGAGCTGCAACCACAGAGCTGCAACAGGAGCTGCAACCAGGAGCTGCACCAAGGAGCTGCACAAGGAGCTGAAGGGTGGGTGGGGTGGGAGGAGCTGTCACACGGAGCTCAACCATGACAAGGAGCTGCAAACAAGGAGCTGCAAACAAGGAGCTGCCACCAAGGAGCTGCAACGAAGGAGCTGCCACCACGGAGCTGCAAACAAGGAGCTGCAAACAAGGAGCTGCCACCAAGGAGCTGCAACCAAGGAGCTGCCACCACGGAGCTGCAAACAAGGACCTGCAATCAAGGAGCTGCAATGAAGGAGCTGCCACCACGGAGCTGCAAACAAGGAGCTGCAATGAAGGAGCTGCAACCAAGGAGCTGCAACCAAGGAGCTGCAACCAAGGAGCTGCAACCAAGGAGCTGCAACCAAGGAGCTGCAACCACGGAGCTGCAACCAAGGAGCTGCAACCAAGGAGCTGCAACCACGGAGCTGCAACCAAGGAGCTGCAACCAAGGAGCTGCAACCAAGGAGCTGCAACCACAGAGCTGCAACCAAGGAGCTGCAACCAAGGAGCTGCAACCAAGGAGCTGCAACCAAGGAGCTGCAACCAAGGAGCTGCAACCAAGGAGCTTCAAAGAAGGAGCTGCCACCAAGGAGCTGCAACGAAGGAGCTGCAACCACAGAGCTGCAACCACAGAGCTGCAACCACAGAGCTGCAACCAAGGAGCTGCCACCAAGGAGCTGTAAACAAGGAGCTGCAACCAAGGCGCTGCAACGAAGGAGCTGCAAGCACGGAGCTGCAAGCACAGAGCTGCAACCACAGAGCTGCAACGAATGAGCTGCAACGAAGGAGCTGCCACCAAGGAGCTGCAACCAAGGAGCTGCCACCAAGGAGCTGCAACCAAGGAGCTGCAACCAAGGAGCTGCAACCAAGGAGCTGCAATCAAGGAGCTGCCACCAAGGAGCTGCAATGAAGGAGCTGCCACCACGGAGCTGCAAACAAGGAGCTGCAACCAAGGAGCTGCAACCAAGGAGCTGCCACCACGGAGCTGCAACAAGGAGCTGGGGTGGGTGGGTGGGTGGGGTGAGGAGCTGCACCACAGAGCTGCAACCAAGAGCTGCAACCAAGGAGCTTCAACGAAGGAGCTGCCACCAAGGAGCTGCAACCAAGGAGCTGCCACCACGGAGCTGCAACCAAGTGGCTGCAACCAAGGAGCTTCAACGAAGGAGCTGCCACCAAGGAGCTGCAACCAAGGAGCTGCAACCAAGGAGCTGCAACCACAGAGCTGCAACCAAGGAGCTGCAACCAAGGAGCTGCCACCAAGGAGCTGCAAACAAGGAGCTGCCACCAAGGAGCTGCAACCAAGGAGCTGCAACCAAGGAGCTGCCACCAAGGAGCTGCAACAAAGGAGCTGCAAAGAAGGAGCTGCAACCAAGGATCTGCCACCAAGGAGCTGCAACCACAGAGCTGCAACCAAGGAGCTGCAACCAAGGAGCTGCAACCAAGGAGCTGCAACCAAGGAGCTGTCACCACGGAGCTGCAACCACGGAGCTGCAACCACGGATATGCAACCACAGAGCTGCAACCAAGGAGCTGCAAACAAGGAGCTGCAAACAAGGAGCTGCCACCAAGGAGCTGCAACGAAGGAGCTGCAACCAAGGAGCTGCCACCACGGAGCTGCAAACAAGGAGCTGCAAAGAAGGAGCTGCACCAAGGATGGGGAGGTGCAACCAAGGAGCTGCAAGCAAGGAGCTGCAACCACAGAGCTGCAACCAAGGAGCTGCAACCAAGGAGCTGCAATCACCACTGCGCCCAAAGCGCAACTGCCCCAGGGATACGGGTGCTGGATGCAGGTCCCTTGGTGCTGGGGCTGACGTCATAGAGAGGAAGGTTCCATGGGGGGTGTTTCATGGGGGGGGTTCCACGGGGATGTCCATGGGGGGCCCCATGGGGGGGCATGGGGAGATGGGGGGGGTCTGATGGGCTTGGGATGCTCTGAATCCCTATGGGATGCTCTGGAGTTTTGTGGGATGCTCTGGACAATAGAAAGGGCTTCTTCAAATACATAGTGGAGAAAACCAACACAAGAGGCAGTAGAGGCTCACTGCAGAACGAGGCAGGTGCCCTGGAGACAGAGGATATAAAGAAGGCAGAGGTGCTGAATGCCTTCTTTGCCTCTGTCTTTACTCCTGCAGTCTCTCCCCAGGGACCCCAGATTCCCACGGTCCCAGAAGGAGTCAGGACAAAGGAGGAGTTTGCTTTGGTAGATGAGGATTGGGTTAGGGATCAGTGAAGCAATCTGGACATCTATAAATCAATGGGTGCGCATGGAATGCACCCATGGAGCTGAGGGAGCTGGCGGAGGTCATTGCTTGGGCACTCTCCATCATCTTTGGTAAGTCGTGGCAAACAGGAGAGGTGCCTGAGGACTGGAGGATGGCAAATGTCACACCAGTCTATGAGAAGGGCAAGAAGGAGGAGCTGGGTAATTATAGACCGGTCAGCCTTAGCTCCATCCCTGGAAAGGTGATGGAACAACTTCTTCTTGACACCATCTCTAGACGTATCAAGGATGAGGGGCTCATTAAGAGCAGCCAACATGGTTTTACCAGGGGGAAGTCATGTTTGAGCAACCTTATAGCCTTCTATGAGGAAGTAACTAGGTGGATGGATGATGGTAGAGCGGTAGGTGTGGTTTCTCTTGATTTCAGTAAGGCATCTGATACTGCCTCCCACAGCATCCTCATAGATAAGCTAAGGAAGCATGGGCTTGATGATCAGGTAGTGAGGTGGATCAAGAGCTGGTTGAAGGGAAGAGGGCAGAGAGTTGTGGTCAATGGGCAGAATGTAGCTGGAGGTCTGTGACCAGTGGAGTCCGTCAGGGGTCGGTGCTGGGATCAGTGCTGTTTAATATTTTCCTCAGCGCCCTGGATGAGGGAACTGAGTGTACCCTCAGCAAGTTCGCTGATGACACTAAACTGGGAGGAGTGGCTGACACAGCAGAAGGCTGTGCTGCCATTCAGCGAGACCTGGACAGGCTGGAGAGTTGGGCGGGGAGAAACTTGATGAAATTCAACAGGGGCAAGTGTAGAGTCTTGCATCTGGGGAAGAACAACCCCATGTACCAGTACAGGTTGGGGGTTGACCTGCTGGGAAGGAGTGAAGGGGAAAGGGACCTGGGAGTCCTGGTGGGATGGGGATGAGGGCTGGAAGGCAGGGAACAGTGGGAAGCAGGGTCTGGGAATCAGGGAATCAACCAGGTTGGGTAAGACCTTCAGGAGCATCAAGTCCAATCATTGCCCCACCATTAAAACATGGCATGTAGAGGGAGGGGGTTCAGCTCCCATTAGACCAGGTTGCTCTAAGCCCTATCCATCCTTCTCCATCCAACCCATCCCAGGGTCCCAGCACCCTCACTTCCTTACATCTCCAACCTGAACTTCCCTGTTCCAGTTGGAACCCATCACCCCTTGTGCTATGGCTGCAATCCATGCTGAAGGCTCCTCTCCCCATCCAAATGATGAAGGAGAACCCAACCTTCCATAGTTCTGCTTCATCCCTGCATCCAGCTGGAGCATCCCACCTCATCCCTGCATCCAGCTGGAGTATCCCACTTCATCCCTGCCTGCAGCTGGAGCATCCCGCTTCCAGGCTTAGGATCTTCCCTTAGGACCTCATAAGCTCCTGTGAGGGTGGTGAGGCACTGGAATAGGTTGCCCAAGGAGGTTGTGAATGCTCCATCCCTGGCAGTGTTCAAGGCCAGGTTGGATGAGGCCTTGGGCGATATGGTTTAGAGCAAAGTGTCCCTGCCCATAGCAGGGGGGTTGGAACTTGATGATCTTTTAGGGTCTTTTCCATCCCTAACCATTCTATGATTCTATAAGCTCCAAGGCTGTATCCATCCCAGCACCAAGCACCCATCCCAGCACCAAGCACCCATCCCAGCTCCCAACACCCATCCCAGCACCCTTTGGATATCTCCTGAATCCCAAGCACTGGGGTCCCCAATGCCAGGAGCAGGGACTGGGGAATGGGCTTACCC